TGCCTCCAGAAGAACGGACTTCAAATCCCACACAGGTGCAGGTGATGACGGTTAACCCGTGGTTGGCTGTGACGCAGAGAGTCTTCGAGGCGAACTAATAATGTTACATCATATAAACGTAACACCGTGGACTTTATATAATGTTATATCATATAAACGTAACTCAGTTGTCTAACATTTAGTAACTGTACATTCGTCATTCTTGCAGTTGTAGATTTATAGAACGAGCTGTGTATTAAATTAAAGATTTTCATAAAAAAACAAATCGAACATATATTTACATTTTAATATTAACATCAACAAACAAAGGTCTTACTAAACTAATGCCCCTAAATTAAAAACCCAAACAACAACCTGACCGGTTCATACTGTGTCCATTTTGACTGACTCGTCAAATCCATCGACGACGAATAAATAAAATGGACAGAGCCGCTGGTTTCACAAATGAAATGAAATGAAAATCCTGTTATCTGCACCGCCAGTTCTAATTGTTCAATAAAATATGAGCTCCATATTTGAAATAAATATTACATGTGACAGATAATGAGAAACAGAATCGAATATTCTAGGTTACTGTGTATAATTGACATCAGCATCGTCCGTCATGGTTTATGTATTTGTGCTCTGTTCTGATCAATACTTCATTTACTGTTGTACAAATCGTTGTTGTACCACGTCCTTGTGTGCGTTTAAAGGCGCTTTTAATAATAAAATGTATCATTATTGTTAAAATAATAATAATAATACGGTAAAGGGCATTGACGACAGCCTACTTACACAGCCCGAGGTTCGGATTCGGTTTTAGACGAATGCTTGTGTTTTTGCTTCTGAACTTAGATCTGTTAGGATATCTAAAAACAAGGCTTAAAAAATAAATTTAAATAAAATAAAGGTGCACAAATTTGTTTGCTGTTATGCTACATTAAAAACCGTAACCATCTTAACCGTGGCGTCAGCCTAAGAAAGGAGCCGGTGGCCGCTGCTCCTCTCGCTTCACATCAACCATCTTTGGTCTAGCTTAACTGGCCAATCGTAACGTAAGGGGGCGTGGTCTGCGGCAAACGAACAGCCTGCGAGCTGCGGAGACTGAGGAGAGCAGCAGAGACGGAGAAAGAGACCGTACATCACTCGTTCATCCACCCTAACCTCCAACCAACCTAACGGTCACCGTCCGTTCATCCACCCCAACCTCCAACCAACCTAACGGTCACCGTTAACCGGTAAGAACGGACTTCTATTATAACCGGCTCACCTTCATACTGACGATACTGATCAGAGGAAAACACTCTGGTGAACATCTTTATTGAAAACTTGATGCTACAAAAAAAATACCATTTTATTTCTACGGGTTTCATTCAGTGGGATTATCGGCAGTGAGATAATCTCACAGTGAAGTGAGCTCGTTGTTTTAGAATAAGATGAAGGGCAGCGTTTTCATGCTCAACATGTGTTGTTTTGACCAGGAGGGGCGGGTGGAGACACAACCGCAGCAGCCACGTTCACATCAATATTACTGTCGTTCTTAGTTGTTCTTTTTTTTTCACTGAAACCTCGCGGTGTTGGTGGTCGTCCTTGAAACCAAAGCAAAGGTGCTGTCAGTAAAACCAGTGTAAATGAACGAGGGAGATGATAGTAGTGTCTGGTCCCCTCTTCATCCCCCCACCCCCCTTACACACACAGCCTTCAGTTGTTAGTCAGCTCTGTGTGTGATAGAAAACATATAAAGTATCATCCAGAGGCCGCCGTGGCCTCAGGTTTAGTTTATATAACAGCAGGGAAACGGTTCTTATGTACAAAAAAGCATCAAAGTAGATGCAGCAGTTGTGAGGAGCTGGGAAGAACACATGTAAGTGTTGAGGGTTGAATCACACTGTGTGTCTTGAACAGGTCAACACTGAAATACACCCAACAAGTCATTGTTGTTGGTCTCATGTTTCTCTGTCACCATGATCCCTGAACCAAAGGTCTCACCTCTGCTCACTGACGGTCATCTCTGTCCCTCCATAATCTGGACGCAGTCATCTGCACCAAAACCACTGATTCTACCATTTCTGCTGTGTTTTTATGTATGTATGTGTGTGTGTGTGTGTGTGTCCCATGAGGGCTGCATTAATTGCGTTTCAATAATTAAATGTCCGTCAAATCAGCCTAGTGAAACATAACAAGTGAGGAAGGCAGAGGAGATCGACTGGGTTGGAGCTGTGACTGGAGTGGAGGCCGTTCAAGCTGTTGGAAGGCAGAGGAGAGCGACTGACTGGAGTGGAGGCCGTTCAAGCTGTTAGTCCACGTTCAGTTAGAGACAAAAACAACATCAGTTTAACGTCTGTAATGTCAGTTTGTCCATGCAGTAGATTTACCCAGTTAGCAGAGGGCAAAGGTCAGCCGTCTGTGGACGACGGTGTTGGTCAAACACTGAGATTCTTGGGTAAAAAGGAGACCAAATGAGGGCCCTGATGTGGGGGGGTGAGGGTCACACCCCCACCAGTACACCTGCCCTCAGGTACAGTACATATGTACAGTACACGTACTGTACGTATTGATGTCATTCTCTGGTCCGTACTTTGTTATTTTCTGTTTCTAAAAGAAGAAGCTAATGAAGTAACAACTCTTTGAACTGTGTTTGCCGTCTTACAGTAAATCCCATTTTTAGTGAGAGCTAATGAGGCGGGGATGCGATCAATCTGAGTAAAAACCCTGAATTAAAGTGTACCGCGGTTGTGATTAATTCTTGGAATTAATGGAATTAATGACAACCAAATGTCTGAAAGATAACCGTGTGTTTAAAGTGTGAGACATTAAGTCCACAGCAGCTGAAGCTCAGGTTGAAGCGTGTGTTGATCCTCATATTCATGGTCACGGTTTGGTCTGTGGTTTGGAGCTGCTCAGTGTTGAGCTGTTGTTAAGCTGCAGAATAAGAAAAGGTCTGACATGTTTTTCTTCCTTTTAGTCATTGTTGAACAGAATTCTCCAAATGAAGTGCTCCTCTGGAGAAATCCCTTTGTTCTGAGGGCGTTTTAAAGCCCAACTGCACTCCTCTTCAGGTGAAAGTGTGACAGAACTGAGGCTTTAATGTTGTTACCACTGTTCTGTTATACAGAGGAACCAGGGGAGCATTTTTACTGACCTGATGGAATGCATTTAGTGAAAGCATCGACGGGCTTTAGTGGCATTTAATCGAGCGGTGGTCAGAGGAGGAACTGTTGTGCGTGGACTGATGTCAGAGATTTAGGAACGTGGCTGTGAGGAGTTTCCTCAGAGAGAGCAGACGTCCTCTGGGCTCTGGAGCATGCTCTCTGAAGGTGTTGGGTTTAAATGGCACTCAGGATTATCGTACCTGCCCTGGACGTGGCTACGTTACATTTTAATTGCCCCAAAATGTCAACTGCTGATTTATTCAGTCTGGGACCTGGGATTACAGGGAGATCAAAGGCAGCCTTTGAAGGCCACTGAGTTTAATTGCACCAAATGAATCAGGTCGTCAGGATTAGGACCGTGAGGGATGCTCCGACATGTTCCGTTCCTCCTGTCACCAGAGAACGTTTTATGACCAGGTGTTGGTTTTCAGCCACACCTGGTCATCAAAGTGGTTTCCCTCTGTTGCTGGGAAACCCCTCCTGATTGGACGGTTTCCAAACTCAGGCCTAATACTCATCCTGGGTCGGACCGCACGCCACAGCTCAAAAGGTCAGACTGGTGTCAGTGATAGAAATAAAGGCAGCCACCCGTGGTGGACACTGACACACACACACACACACACACACACACACACACAGAGAGAACATTTCTTTGGCATAACTGCATGACTGGCTCTTTTCTTACAGGGGGCAGTGCTGCCAGCCTTAAAAAGGTTCAACTCCCACAGCACAGAAGGTCAGGAACATTACCTGCATTTACATCAGTGCCAGCCGTCTCCCCCTCCCTCTGCACCCCCGTCCTCCCCCATCTTTCCCGTGTCTCTCTGGATAACTTAACTTTTACTGGAATGTCTGACTCACTGGGCGACATTTAAAGAGCGTTGTTTTATCTCCACTACATCAGCTCTGTCTGTGCGCCGACTGTGTTGGCATCATATGGGTCAACACGGGTGAGGGGGGGCAGGGGTGGGGGTCTTGAACTGATCGGTCTTGGTACTTTTCTTCTTCCTTCCCTTCAAAAACACTCATCAGTGGCAGCAGCATCAGTGGCAGCAGCATCAGAGGATGTTGACGTGTCAGGATCTGAACTCTCACATCCATCTTGATCCTTGTTTGTGGACCAGTTTGTAGTTTTTCCTTCAAACTCAAATATATAATGAAGGATAAAGAATAATCTGGAATAATCCTTTAATATCCTACAATAAATGTCTCTGAAAGACTGCAGTTCAGGTTCTGACCACCAGAGGTTCACAACAAACATTTATTATTAAGAAAAGTCTTTTGTTTCCAGAGGATTTGATGATGAAATGATTATTTTTCTCTTCCTCCTTCCTCCACCACCTCCTGTCTCCCCTCTTTTCTCCTTCACCTATCCCCCCCCCCCTCCCCACTCCCCCCCCCCCCCCCCCCCCCCCCCCCCCCCCCCTGAGATGTTTGTCCTGGACGTTTTTTTCCCGCTCCTTCTCCTCCTCCTCCTCTCCATCCTGTTGCCGGGCTACGGTTGCCGGGCGGTGGACATTCCGGAGGACACTACCTCGGAGTTCTCGGTCAGACTGTACCACCAGCTGCAGGCGGTGGGGGGTCAGGACAACATCATCTTTTCTCCACTCAGCGTGGCTGTAGCCCTGGGCATGGTGGAGCTGGGGGCCAGGGGGGCTTCTCTGGAGGAAATACGACAGACCGTGGGCTTCAGTCACCTGCTGCCAGGTCAGACATCGGGGGGCGGGGGGGGGGGGGACGTTGACGAGGACCAGGAGTCACAGACTCTGTCGTCGCTGTGTTGTTGTTTTTTACTTCTTTTATTTGAATGACACGAGTTGGTTACAGTAACACTACAGTAATACTACAGTAATACTACAACGTCAAATATTAAATTCTAAAATGTGTTCTATTCATGTTATCAAACACTGATGTATTTCAGTGAGTATTTCTGATGTACAGTACTACAGTAATACTGCACCGTCTCCAGGTGTGGAGTTTTCTCTGCTGCAGAACCTCACAGCAGCTCTGACGGACGACGACGCCAACTACGTGGTCAGGTTGGCCAACATCCTGTTCCTGCAGGAAGGAGTGACGTTCAACCCCGAGTTCCTGCATCTGATGAAGAAGTATTTCCGAGCGGACGTGGAAACGGTGGATTTCAGCGAGTCGGCGGCGGTGGCGGAGCAGATCAACAGCTGGGTGGAGAACCACACAGAGAGTGAGTGTTGGTACTGTTGAACTACAGACACTGACTAACAACAACTGACCCAGAGCCTCACTGCTGCCCCCCCCAGGTAAGATCCGTGAGCTGCTGTCAGCGGAGGACTTCAACAGCATGACCCGTCTGACCCTGGTCAACGCTGTGTACTTCAGGGGCTCATGGAAGAACCAGTTCAGACCGGAGAACACCAGAACCTTCTCCTTCAGCAGAGACGACGGCTCTGAGGTCCAGACCCTGATGATGTACCAGCAGGGGGAGTTCTTCTACGGTGAGGACCAGATGTTTGACCATTACACCGTTCAGGGTTCAGAACTACAGTCCTGATGAAGAAGAACTACAGTCCTGATGATGAAGAACTACAGTCCTGATGATGAAGAACTACAGTCCTGATGAAGAAGAACTACAGTCCTGATGATGAAGAACTACAGTCCTGATGAAGACCACCTCCATGATGTTTTTCTCATGGACGTTCCTCCGTGGTGTTTCTCCTCAGGTGAGTTCAGCGATGGTTCCCAGGAGGCAGGCGGGGTTTACCAGGTGTTGGAGATGCCCTACGAGGGAGAGGACATGTCCATGATGATCGTTCTGCCCAGACAGGAAGTTCCACTGGCCACGCTGGAGCCTATCATCAAAGCTCCCCTGCTGGAGGAGTGGGCAAACAACGTCAAACGGCAGAAGGTGGAAGTCTACCTGCCGAGGTAGGAGACCACAAGATGAACCAAAACACACTCTCACTGTCAGTCGGAGAAATCTTCCCAGCAGTGTGTTTAAATAACACTGTGTATTACAGCATTGATGAGTGGAATTCTACGTGACATGAATTGACCTTTGACCTTCTCAAACTGTGAAATTTCAGGTTCAAAGTGGAGCAGAGGATTGACCTGAGGAGCACTCTGCAGGAGCTGGGGATCAAGAACATCTTCAGCCGCAACGCCGACCTCTCAGCCATGACAGGTACTGAAACAGGTACTGAAACAGGTACTGTAACAGGTCCAGGTACTGTAACAGGTCCAGGTAGAAGTACTGTAACAGGTACTGAAACAGGTACTGTAACAGGTACTGTAACAGGTACTGTAACAGGTACTGTAACAGGTCCAGGTACTGTAACATTGAATGTCATCAGTGCAACAGTGCAGTTGGTACATCAAAACAGATGTTACTGTACTGTACTGTCCTGTACATACTCAGAGGTATGTTTTGCATTAATATGATTCTTCATAAACTCAGAGGTACAGGAAGTGTTTTGCATTAATATGATTCTTCATAAAAACCAGTATTTACTCAGTACACGCAGTACTTTCTGAGGTAACCAAGGTAACAGAGGAGGAACAGTCCAAGCTGTCACATCATGAACTGAAGTAAAAATAGCTCCACAGACAGAGGAGTGTGGACTGTGTGATGTTCAGTACCGTTCCTCAGTATTACAGTAGAACGTATGCAGGAAATGCAGTAATATTTGAATGTGTACTTGGATCTAAAGTCAGTGTTTGTGTTACTCAGATGGTAAAGACTTGTACGTTGAAAAGGCAGTGCAGAAGTCCTACCTGGAGGTGACAGAGGAGGGGGCAGAGGGGGCTGTGGGCTCAGGTACAGTCGGCCACATCTTGTACTTCCACCGTGTGTACTTCAGTACTTTGATCTAACCTCCTCTCTCTTCTTCTCTGTGGTCTAGGGATGATCGGTCTGACCCGGACCCTGGTCCTGTACCCCCAGGTCATGGCAGACCACCCGTTCTTCTTTGTGATCAGGAACAGAAGAACAGGTGAGGGCAGGGGGTCGGCAGGTCAGGGGTCAATAACACCCACAGCTGTTGAGGACAGTTGTTAATGTCCTTTCCTTTAATCACATCAAACTGTCCTCGTGTGTTTTTGAAAAACTTTTCTGTCCTCAGGGTCCATCCTCTTCATGGGCAGGGTCATGACCCCAGAGGTCGTCGAGCCCAGTGACAGCGACCTCTACTCCATCTGAATGGTGTGAAGTCCCTTAGTCTCAGCCAATCAGATCCTGACGTTCTAGAAGCTACCTATTCTCTATCACCATCTTCAGCTGTGTTTTATACTCTATATAAATATATATATAAATATATAAATATAAATATGAGGTGCATACGACCCACGGTATATAATATATTGAACTGTTGACGTTTGACATCAAATGTGTTTGTGTTTTGATACTGAAAGCTTTAAACTGTTGCTGACAGAAAAGGGAAGGTTGTAAATACTCAGTACTGCAGTAGTAGACGTTGTACATGAGCCAGAAGAACACGTGTCACCCACGCACACACACACACACACAGACGACGCACAGAACCACGTCCCGTCTCCTCGACTCCTACCATCCATTTCCTCTTCACGTCTGGGTCTAATTGTTCCTCAGACACAGACGAGGTTCTTCAGCAGGTGGAAAAATACGCCGTACTGCAAGTCACAGTCGGGTGTTGACGTCTCACCCACAGGGGTGAGGCGGGGGGCAGGGGGGTACATACAGGGAGAAACAGGTCACACCAGCTGTAACCAGTCTTTACTCAATAAAACCATGAATGTGTTCCCGTCAGCGCCACCTGTGGTTTTTGTCTTTGAGGATTATTTACAAACTCCACACTAATGTTTGAATTTCTGTGTATATTTAGTATATTTCTGAATATATTAAGTATAATTCTGTGTATATTGAGTATATTTCTGCGTACAGAGACAAGAAACTGACCTTCTCTAAATCTGAGCTCTCAGAACACTCGGTGTCACTGCTGCTGACTGTAGCAACTTCTACCTCTTAATGTATGCTGCGTACACCTGAACACTGTTGCCAGGCAGCCACCAGCCCTCCAGTGACCAGTGGTGCAGCAGCAGCAGCGGCGGCGGGGGGGGGGGGAAATAAAGGGGGAAACAGGTCACACCAGCTGTAACCAGTCTTTACTCAATAAAACCATGAATGTGTTCCCGTCAGCGCCACCTGTGGTTTTTGTCTTTGAGGATTATTTACAAACTCCACACTAATGTTTGAATTTCTGTGTATATGTAGTATATTTCTGAATATATTAAGTATACTTCTGCGTGTATTGAGTATATTTCTTCTGCGTACAGAGACAAGAACCTGACCTTCTCTAAATCTGAGCTCTCAGAACACTCGGTGTCACTGCTGCTGACTGCAGCAACTTCTACCTCTTAATGTATGCTGCGTACACCTGAACACTGTTGCCAGGCAACCACCAGCCCTCCAGTGACCAGTGGTGCAGCAGCAGCAGCGGCGGCGGCGGCGGCCGGGCCCTCCCAGACACAGTCCGCCCGGACCACTGAACAGCAGCGCCACCTTCTCCCAGCGGTCACTGCTCACCAACCCAGCAGGCTCCATGGGTCGCAGCCACAGCTCGGCCCGGTCAGACCCAGCCACCATCTGTGAGTCAGTGACCACGGCCCCGAGGATTGACCACCACCACCACCACCACCACAGTGGACCATGTCAGAAAGGTGAGCTGAAGTCTAACTGTGTGAGGAGGAGCGTTGTATTTTAGTGACTTTCTCCAGGTCTCTGTTTCCTGTCCACGCCTCAGACTGGTCAGGTGTCAATCAGCCGAGGACCGAGTCTTTTTGACACGTTATCTGTCGATCAGGTTTTGGTGAAGACCAAACTGATTAAGTGCAGCTGAAGGCTGTGACGGCCCCAGAGTCCAGCGCTCATTCTTCTCATTCAGACTAACAAACAGCACCTGCTCAGGTGTCCTGTGCTGCCATGGCAACAGGTCCTAATCCACACTGTCAGGCCCAGTTCAGTGAAACTCTACACAGCAGGGCTTACGTTACCAGGTGACACTTTGTCTTCTGCAGCAGGGATCACAGCCATCTTTGCTTTGTTTCCGTCCTCTCTTTATCTCCTCACCGTTCCGTCTGCGTCAGTTCTTCGGGTGTGAACACTCTCAGCGGCAGTCTCCCCAAGTCCCACTGGTCCCGACACTCTGACCTCCACGTGACACGAACACCGCTCTGTGTGGACCACAGTCCTGACTCTGGACTAGTTTCTACACCCGTGAGTATCTCACACACACACACACTCACACACACTGTATGGCACCAATCTGTCTTCCCTACTGTCCTCACCCCCCCACCCCCCCCCCCCCCCCCCCCTTTCAATCCCCCCCCCCCACCTCCCCCCCTCTC